TTAATAACTACGTTAAAAGTATACAAACTCTATTTTAAATTTCTAGCATTCACTAAAAGTGTTGATCAGAGTTATTAGCAATCAAATGTTGCACTACTTTATAGTAGTTTAACACAATTACGCAAATTTTTAGAAGTGAAAGGATCGCGGAGGAAGACGGCGATATTACATTTAGAATAAATTCTGGAATTTTCAAAAATAGGAGAAGAATTAATAAAATTTAGTTAATAATTATGTTAAAAGTATACAAAATTTTATTAATTCTTCAACCATTTTTGAAAATTCCAGAATTTATTCTAAATGCAATATCGCCGTCTTCCTCCGCGACCCTTTCACTTCTAAAAGTTTGCATAACTGTGTTAAACTACTATAAAGTAGTGCAACATTTGATTGCTAATAACTCTGATCAATACTTTTAGTGAATGCTACAAATTTAAAATAGAGTTTGTATACTTTTAACGTAGTTATTAACTAAATTTTATTAAAATTTATTAGAAGACACTCCGACAGTTCCCTTGTAAGTTCCTAATGTCACGCATTTAAAAAATTCTTTAAATTGTGCTCAGTAGAGAAATAAAACATTTTGAAAATATGTTAGATAAGAGTATATTATACCCGTGAAAAATCTAAAATAACCTTTATAGTTATATAAATCAAATACTATAATATCAAAAACATTAAAACGAAAACTATATACAGAATTTTTGTATTTTAGCCTATCATCGTCATGTTTATCGCCATACTCGAACAGTACCAAATGTCAAGATTTTATTGGTGAAGTTTGAAAATGTGGTATCTCACATTTTTTAACATAAAATATATTTTTTAATGTCAATTCTAAGAATCGGGAGCAATCACAGCCGCGTATCAAACGGTAATCTGCTAATCAATCAGATATCTCAAAAAACCGGACTAAATATTTAAACTCGACAACCTCAAAAACCAATTAAACCATATTGTATGCTGGCCAGTAATTTTGTATTATGTAATTTTCGAATTCGAATGGAACCATAACGCTGGTCCTATAGAAAGAAGGGATGTTGCGAACGAGGTTTGACATTCAAAAGTAGTCATTGACATTCTCCTGGAAAAGAGGATGGTCAACGACCACAAATTAAGACTGGTCTACTATTAATATTTGAAAAGTAATTCGTGTTAGACAGGTTGTGATGGCCTGTATGTGACCGAGTTGCTAACCTCATTGTCTAAAAGACTTTATACGACTTGTTTAAATCAGGGCTGTGGAGTCGTGTAAAAATCTACCTACTTCAACTCTGACCAGGGGCAGACTTGTTACCAAAATAGACTCGGAAATTCTGATGTCATTACGTGACTTCAGAATAAAGTATTCAATAGAGTTCTAATATTGAACGTAGAAACGTTTTTATTCTAAAGCTGGAAGACTCCTCTAATTAATGACACAGTCAATATACAAATATGTATTCGAAAAGTTTTACTTTATTGGTTGTTATATATATCAGAGGGAAAGTGTAGGAATCGGTCAAAAAAACGACCCCTCCCAAATTTTAACATTTTTAATTCGGGACACCTTGAAATTTCGAGATATGGAAAAGTTTCGGTCTTTTCTCTGTATGTGTTTACTTTATATTGTGTGGGGGACACGATTTTGTTCACTCTGATTGAAGGCTTAATAATTCTTGTGGTTTTTAAATCGGTGTCAAATGGTTTAATACAGGAGTTAAGGTCAAATGTGTGAGACTGCGGATTTTAGAGCCAAAATTTTGTAAATGAAAGGAAACTATCCCATTTTTTCATTGATTGAAATTTTGTAAACATCTCCACAGAAAAACTCCTTGCGGGGTATAGGAGCGGAGGTCTCCTCCAACTATCAACAGTTTGGTGGGAAAGTTGACACTTAGCTGCCATGAAATGCAAGTCATCATCAACAAATGGACGGCTTCCCACACTAATGTTATAAAAACTCGCGCCACCGGAAACATAGGGCGGACCAACCCACGCAAGTTATTTCTGTACTTGTGTCGTCGATCTCCATGTTCAGGAACGGAATCCCGTCACAGAAGACATACGACCGCCATACCTCAGCCATTCCCTCCAATCTTATGCATAGATGTAATTGTTAGAACTTTGTAAACTCTCTTCCCCCGAGTAGCATTTAACCGCATTTAACCGAGTAGCGTTTAGCCAGATACACTTGTGATCGAATTATATATGTTAACTTTAGTTAATCAATAAATATTGTTTGTTAACCTGTCAACCCGTCGATCCTTTTCCCGTGAAGACACCTGTCCACGTGCTCGCGATCCCCCCCAGTGACTTTTGCTTTCTTAATTCATTTACTGACGAAGAGATCGAGTTTTAACACTCTTTGCCGTATATAACATTTGGGAAGAAGGCCAAGATTAAATATATAATGACATGTACGGAAAGAAAGTCACCTTACATTCATACTTTTAGTAACAGGTTAAACGTTTTTTTTTTTTTTTAAATTCATTCCTTATAACTGAATATAATTATATTATGCACTTATATACATATTTTATAATATCAAATCAGTAAATTCATATAAAACTTTTCTTGAAATTTTTAATTTAAACAAAATAAAATTTAAAAATATTCATAGATAAATACTGCAAATACATTTTTGTTTTTATTCCATTAATAATATTTCATTATGATGATTCTTTTTTTAAATTCTTGAATGCACACCAGTATATTATTAATCAAACCGGAATAACATCACAATCTTATTGCATCATAACTTCGTATATTATTATTAGTGTTTAAGTCTGTACTTTTACTATATTGGCTGTTATGTACAAATTACAAGGGAAAATATGGAAATCGTGTCAAATTTGACCCTCCGAGTTCTTTGCAAATCTTGACGACATGAGTTTCCGAATCCAAAATCGTCAAAAAATATAAATTTGGGTGTGTGTTGGCGTCTACGTCGTTAAATATCTAGGATGGGGTAACGATAAAAAAAGGAAATTTTGGCAAGGTAAATTCTGTATAAGGGACATTAATGTTATGAAATTTTGATAGTTATAGGTGAAGATTTAATGAAGATTTTATTCGCTACTAGTATTTATAATTTGTTTTTAATATAAAACTCAACAATACTTTCAAAATTAAGTTGTTTGCCATTTTATAATTATCAATAATATAAAAATTTCTTTTAACAAAATCACATAACATGTGGAGCCACACACAATTTTTCGTTTTGATTAATTTTTTGATACGATCTCATAACATATAATTCAGTTAGAAATAACTCTTTGTTTATCATCGCTCCATAAACTGTTTTGCAACATTCACATTTATATGAAAGGCTCTGAAATTTGAAGGTTTTTTTTCCGTTTTCTGTGATATTTCTGTTATCCGATATAGGCGTGAGAAAATTCATCAGCTGATCAGATGTTGTTGCACATGAAGGTTGATTTTGCAGGTGTTGTGTCAGAGGTGGATCGTCGATAATGTAAAATTGTCATTATATGTCGCTGCTATGACCATATTTGGTTCGAGACTTGTACGATTCTTTCTATTTACTTGTCCAACGGTTGACTTTCTCCTCCTTTAACAATAGGTTTTTTAATTTAACATTTGATTGTTATAANGTAAGTTCCTAATGTCACGCATTTAAAAAATTCTTTAAATTGTGCTCAGTAGAGAAATAAAACATTTTGAAAATATGTTAGATAAGAGTATATTATACCCGTGAAAAATCTAAAATAACCTTTATAGTTATATAAATCAAATACTATAATATCAAAAACATTAAAACGAAAACTATATACAGAATTTTTGTATTTTAGCCTATCATCGTCATGTTTATCGCCATACTCGAACAGTACCAAATGTCAAGATTTTATTGGTGAAGTTTGAAAATGTGGTATCTCACATTTTTTAACATAAAATATATTTTTTAATGTCAATTCTAAGAATCGGGAGCAATCACAGCCGCGTATCAAACGGTAATCTGCTAATCAATCAGATATCTCAAAAAACCGGACTAAATATTTAAACTCGACAACCTCAAAAACCAATTAAACCATATTGTATGCTGGCCAGTAATTTTGTATTATGTAATTTTCGAATTCGAATGGAACCATAACGCTGGTCCTACAGAAAGAAGGGATGTTGCGAACGAGGTTTGACATTCAAAAGTAGTCATTGACATTCTCCTGGAAAAGAGGATGGTCAACGACCACAAATTAAGACTGGTCTACTATTAATATTTGAAAAGTAATTCGTGTTAGACAGGTTGTGATGGCCTGTATGTGACCGAGTTGCTAACCTCATTGTCTAAAAGACTTTATACGACTTGTTTAAATCAGGGCTGTGGAGTCGTGTAAAAATCTACCTACTTCAACTCTGACCAGGGGCAGACTTGTTACCAAAATAGACTCGGAAATTCTGATGTCATTACGTGACTTCAGAATAAAGTATTCAATAGAGTTCTAATATTGAACGTAGAAACGTTTTTATTCTAAAGCTGGAAGACTCCTCTAAGTAATGACACAGTCAATATACAAATATGTATTCGAAAAGTTTTACTTTATTGGTTGTTATATATATCAGAGGGAAAGTGTAGGAATCGGTCAAAAAAACGACCCCTCCCAAATTTTAACATTTTTAATTCGGGACACCTTGAAATTTCGAGATATGGAAAAGTTTCGGTCTTTTCTCTGTATGTGTTTACTTTATATTGTGTGGGGGACACGATTTTGTTCACTCTGATTGAAGGCTTAATAATTCTTGTGGTTTTTAAATCGGTGTCAAATGGTTTAATACAGGAGTTAAGGTCAAATGTGTGAGACTGCGGATTTTAGAGCCAAAATTTTGTAAATGAAAGGAAACTATCCCATTTTTTCATTGATTGAAATTTTGTAAACATCTCCACAGAAAAACTCCTTGCGGGGTATAGGAGCGGAGGTCTCCTCCAACTATCAACAGTTTGGTGGGAAAGTTGACACTTAGCTGCCATGAAATGCAAGTCATCATCAACAAATGGACGGCTTCCCACACTAATGTTATAAAAACTCGCGCCACCGGAAACATAGGGCGGACCAACCCACGCAAGTTATTTCTGTACTTGTGTCGTCGATCTCCATGTTCAGGAACGGAATCCCGTCACAGAAGACATACGACCGCCATACCTCAGCCATTCCCTCCAATCTTATGCATAGATGTAATTGTTAGAACTTTGTAAACTCTCTTCCCCCGAGTAGCATTTAACCGCATTTAACCGAGTAGCGTTTAGCCAGATACACTTGTGATCGAATTATATATGTTAACTTTAGTTAATCAATAAATATTGTTTGTTAACCTGTCAACCCGTCGATCCTTTTCCCGTGAAGACACCTGTCCACGTGCTCGCGATCCCCCCAGTGACTTTTGCTTTCTTAATTCATTTACTGACGAAGAGATCGAGTTTTAACACTCTTTGCCGTATATAACATTTGGGAAGAAGGCCAAGATTAAATATATAATGACATGTACGGAAAGAAAGTCACCTTACATTCATACTTTTAGTAACAGGTTAAACGTTTTTTTTTTTTTTTAAATTCATTCCTTATAACTGAATATAATTATATTATGCACTTATATACATATTTTATAATATCAAATCAGTAAATTCATATAAAACTTTTCTTGAAATTTTTAATTTAAACAAAATAAAATTTAAAAATATTCATAGATAAATACTGCAAATACATTTTTGTTTTTATTCCATTAATAATATTTCATTATGATGATTCTTTTTTTAAATTCTTGAATGCACACCAGTATATTATTAATCAAACCGGAATAACATCACAATCTTATTGCATCATAACTTCGTATATTATTATTAGTGTTTAAGTCTGTACTTTTACTATATTGGCTGTTATGTACAAATTACAAGGGAAAATATGGAAATCGTGTCAAATTTGACCCTCCGAGTTCTTTGCAAATCTTGACGACATGAGTTTCCGAATCCAAAATCGTCAAAAAATATAAATTTGGGTGTGTGTTGGCGTCTACGTCGTTAAATATCTAGGATGGGGTAACGATAAAAAAAGGAAATTTTGGCAAGGTAAATTCTGTATAAGGGACATTAATGTTATGAAATTTTGATAGTTATAGGTGAAGATTTAATGAAGATTTTATTCGCTACTAGTATTTATAATTTGTTTTTAATATAAAACTCAACAATACTTTCAAAATTAAGTTGTTTGCCATTTTATAATTATCAATAATATAAAAATTTCTTTTAACAAAATCACATAACATGTGGAGCCACACACAATTTTTCGTTTTGATTAATTTTTTGATACGATCTCATAACATATAATTCAATTAGAAATAACTCTTTGTTTATCATCGCTCCATAAACTGTTTTGCAACATTCACATTTATATGAAAGGCTCTGAAATTTGAAGGTTTTTTTTCCGTTTTCTGTGATATTTCTGTTATCCGATATAGGCGTGAGAAAATTCATCAGCTGATCAGATGTTGTTGCACATGAAGGTTGATTTTGCAGGTGTTGTGTCAGAGGTGGATCGTCGATAATGTAAAATTGTCATTATATGTCGCTGCTATGACCATATTTGGTTCGAGACTTGTACGATTCTTTCTATTTACTTGTCCAACGGTTGACTTTCTCCTCCTTTAACAATAGGTTTTTTAATTTAACATTTGATTGTTATAATTTTCGAACATTTGATGCTAGTAAAAGTGATATTCGATCGGTTTTCTTCGCGATGTTTTTTAACGATCACGACGGCAAAAATATGCATTAGAATTTCCTTACATTAGTGCAAAAACAAGCCTACTATCCTCATAACTGTATTTTTGCAACAAATAACTTTTTATTCGATATTCCCGACAATTTTCCATTTATCCTGCACTATTTTAAAGTTATAAAATTTTCGAAAAGAAAAAAATATAGGTTTACTAATTTTTCATGGGGATAGAAAAATTAAATATCGGACCTTCTATTGAACTTATCCACTCCCTACTTAATTTATAGCCCTCGTTTTTAAAATTTTA